GCGTCTGGACATGGGGGTCTGAGGTGTGGACTGGGGGGATGTACCTGTGTGTTTATCTATAGGTTTGGGCATGGGGGGCTATGGGACCGGGAGGTCTGTGGGGTCTATGGGGGAGTCTGGGCAGGGGGATGGGGCTGAAGAACTCTGGGTCTGGACGTGAGAGCCTGGGGGAAGGATCTGGGGGTCTTTGGGTCTGGATGTGGAGGGCTATGAGGTCTAGGGACAGGAGCTTGGTCTGGGGGCTCCAGGGATAGGGAGGAAGGCATGGGGAGCCAAGGGGTTCCCACCATCCTGCCCTGTCCTCCCACACTTACTGTGTCTCTTCAGCCTCTCTGCAGCACCCAAGCATGGTGCAGATCATCATTTCCAGGTGAGCCCCCACAGGGTCTGACCCCTGTGCCAGGGCAGAGCTGTGCCCCCAGGTGACCTCCCCTCTCTCTCCTGCAGTGGTGGCACAGGGGACCTGGCACAGTGGGTGCTAGTGGAGCTGCAGGGCGAGGTGGAGCCCCGGCAGAGCGGGGAGCTGGCTGGGAGCCTCCTGGGAGACCTGCACTACACCTCTGAGGTGAGGCAGAACACTGCTGGAGGGACAGCCTGGCTGCCAGGTCCTGCCTGCCCTCACCCTCTGCTCTCCCCAGGGCATCCCTGTGCTCATTGTGGGCCACCACATCCTCTACGGAAAGGTGGTGCAGCTGGAGAAGCCATTTGCTGTCCTGGTGAAGCAGGGAGGAGCCCCCCAGCCCAGCCCTGGGGGACCTGATGGCCACTACACTGTCACTGCCCTCATCAAAACCAAACTGCTCTTCAAAACCCGCCCCAAGCCCATCATCACCCATGTGCCCAAGAAGGTGTGAACGCGGTGAGATGGGGGCCATGAACTCTGCTCTGCTACTGAGAAGAGCAGCCAAGACTTGGACAGATCCAGGACCTCATCTTTGTCCTGCACAGGGGACTCTCAGGGTGCTGCATCCTGTGTCTGGATCTCCGGAGCCTTTCCTGGGTCACTTGTCCCCCCCCAGGAATGACTCTTATCTGAGAGGCACCAATCTCTGGGCCATAGATCCTGTGGGTCACTCCAGAGGGCAGGGTGGGCAGATAGCTCCTGTGAGCCTGGGCAAGTGTCCCACCCCAGGGGCTGCCCTCAGTGCCTGGACTCAGCAGATCCATGGAGGTACCAACATGGAGAAGTTCCCCTTCAACTCCTCTCTGCAGCTTTTGGCACAATAGTGCTGGGCAGGGGCTCAGCACCAACCTCCCTCAAGTCAGAGCAGGGGGACCAGCAGTCCTCCTCAGAACACATCACATCACTTGTTCTTGCTGTGTGTCTTTATTTTCACAACTCCATCAAGATATAAAAACCAGCTTTTCCCCCCAGAAATATGAAAAGAAATGTCCCTGGCAGGTTCAAAAATAAATAGATTTACAAACCATCCGCAACAATACCAAAGAGCTACAAAAGTCTCCTAAAAAACCTCATATTAAATTAAACAAAAACCAGCTAAAAGCTCCATTGTAGAAAGGGTTTTTTTCCCCTCAAGTCCTGAAAAAAAGACCCAGGGTCGAATTCCCTGGAGAGGGGAAAGGTTGGGAAGCACCTTGCCTAAATCCCTGTCTTCCCACTGTCAGGAAGTGGGGTGGGAAGGATGGGGCTGAGTGGGCTGCAGCAACACTCCAGCCAACCACAGCTCCCGAGTTTCTCCCCAGTTCTCCACACCAGAATCCCTCCCTTGGCTCTTTGGCAAAGCTGAAGGGACCTGCTGCCCTTCAGGAGCAGCCAGACCGCCCCCAAGAAGGGCTGGAGGGGCTCCCCATGGGTACGTGCCTGCACGCAGCTGTAGGTCAGAAGCAGCACCATCCAGTGGTGCCAGCACCGTGCCAGACGGAGACACTGTCCTTGGGGTGAGAACTGCCATAGCACCGTGGAGGTGGGACTAAAATCCCCACGAAAAGCACCACAGGGTGGAAAATTCTGGGGTGGGGTTGAAGGAGTACAGCCAGCAGTGCTCCATACTGGGATGCTCCATGGGGCACAGTGGGGATGCAGCTGGTAGCACTCAACTGGGTGATGGGCAGCCCTGTCTCGGGTTCTCCACAGCCAGCTTTGGATGGAAACAAGGGAAAATAAACATATTCATTAAAAATACTAGTAAGATTTCAAGGTTTGAAGAGAAATGCCACAGGATGGGAGCGCGCAGCGCTGCCCAGCGGCTCTGGGATGGGGAGGAGTGGACCAGGGATGGTCACTCTGGCACATGGGGTCAGCTTGGCACTGCTCAGCACCTGTCAGCTCCAGGATGGGGAAGAAGGGACTGGGGGGGGTTTCACCCCAGCACCCAGCAGCTCTGGGATGGGGGAAGAGGGGACTGGAGATGGTTGCTCTAGCACACGTAATCACCCCAGCACTGCCCAGCACCTGGCACTTTCCCCATCCCAGCTCCAAGATGGGGGGGAGGGGACAGGGGGTAATCATCCAGGCACAGAGGGTGACCCCAGCACACAAGAACCCCCAGCACACAGGATCACCCCATGGTCAGACCTCAGTTAAGGCCAACCTACACTGCTCTTGCCGCTTGCCGCAGCGACGGGCGACAATGACCAGGTAGAGGGTGAACAGGCCTACCCAGTAGCAGGCGTAGAGGATGGCACCTGCGACGAGGAAGGCCACCTCGGTCTCACTGAAGAGGTCCTGGCTGGAGGCGGTGTAGGCCAGCCCGCCCAGCAGCACCGCCACCCACACCGACACCGGCAGCAGCCCCACAAAGTTCACCACGATGGTGCGGCGCCCCGAGGTGCCCCAGCCCGACTTGTTGATGGTGGCAATGGCAAAGATCTTGGCGGGCAGCAGGCTAGACATGTAGAGGAGGGCGTAGAGGGACATGAAGATCATCTCAGCATTGCCACGCAGGAAGCAGGCGTAG